TTCCTGCTTCTTGGCTTCACACACCTGCCTTTAATGATCTTGTCAAGAGCCAATATTTATAAGAGTGATGAGCTGTATCATTGAATGAAAAACGGAAACCATCTGAGTCCCGCGTTTCGCCTATGGTGGCAAACCTGACATAGACTTTTATCCTTACTGTTCAAATTATTTCTATTTCTTATCTAAAGCTGTTGTCAACACAGTTCCCTCAGTATCTTTTCAGTCCGTCACACCCTCAGTTGTGGGGACTGACAAGCTTTTAATTACTGCTCAGATCTGTTATCCTCATTATATTAAGTTCATGCTTCTTTTCTATGGACAGACCTTTGTAGACAGTCAGAAACAGCTGATGTACACCTGCTCTTCACAATTCACACATCTCTGCTTATTACACACTCTAAGGTAAGTCTTTAAGTAGATATTCTTGTTAAATCTTACACATGTTGTTCAGGGTACTGCTGTCTTTCATTAAACGATTTGCTTCCGTCGCCACATGGCAGTCTACAGGTGAGAGATGATAGGAACTGATCTTTCATGTTCTCTGATCAGGATCAAACCACTCTGCAGCACAAAGACTGTTATTTTGGACTTTACCTCAGTATCTGACTCACATGCATGAACCTGGCTCCACTCACCTTTAAACTGGTTGTACAGTAAAACACTCAAAGAATTTAAAATACATTATAGTATTTTGAATTCCACTGCACATCTTAAACAACATTTTGGTGAAAAAAGAAAGCTGAAGATCTGAAAACACAAAATTGTTCATGATGACCACATAACACAGTGAAGTAAACTTACACACAGGATCTGAGCGATAATCTTCGTGTCCTTTGAAAGCACAGGAGATGATGTCTCCAGGATTGAACAGACCTTGATAAGAACTTCGTTCAACCATAAACTGATTGTTTTTGAACCAGACAAAAGAAAGACGACCAGCTGGACTGCAGCTGCTTTCACACTGCAGCTCTGCCTCAGTCTGAGACTCATGGACTGATATTATTCTGCTCACCTTCACCTGCAGAGCTGAATATGACAACACAGCAGACATCAGACATTAAATACT